AAAAGATGGTGAGGTACCAAGACAATTCAATGGTGAGAGTAACCTTTTCAACAAATAGTGCTGAGACAATTGGATATCCATGAGTAAAGGAGTGAATTTGGGTCCTTATTGACCTTGCATCATACACAAAAATTAATTCAAATTGGATCATAGACATAAATGTAAGAGGTTAAACTATAACTTAGAAGAAAACATAGGAGTAAAGTTTACAACCTTGGTGATCAGCAAAGCCTTCTCAGATATAACACCAAAAGCACAAGCAGCAAAAAAATAAAATAAAGTGGATGCCATTAAAAATAAAAACTTTTTTAAAATATATTTTTATTAATTCCAGAAAGGATGCGAGAGGGAGAGAGAGAGAGAAACATCAATGATGAGAGAGAACCATCAATCCGCTGCCTCCCACATGCCCCCTACTGGGGATCAAGCCCACAACCTGGGCATGTGCCCTTGACTGGAATTGAACCCAGGACCCTTCAGTCCGCAGGCCGATGCTCTATCCACTGAGCAAAACTGGCTAGGGCAAAAATAAAAACTTTTGTATTTCAAAGGACATCATTAAGAAAGTGAAAAGACAGCCCTAGCCAGTTTGGCTCAGTGGGTAGAGCCTCGGCCTGCGACTGAAGAGTTCCCAGTTCGATTCCAGTCAAGGACACATACCCAGGTTGCGGGCTTGATCCCCATTAGGGGGTGTGCGCGGGGCAGCCGATCAATGATTCTCTCTCATCATTGATGTTTCTATATCTCTCTCCTTCTCCATTCCTCTCTGAAATCAATAAAAAATACTTTTTTTAAAAAAAAGTGAAAAAACAACTCATAGCTGTCAGGCGGGGAGGGGGACTGGATGAAAGAAGGTAAAGGGACCACCTAACGAGCATATGTGGTGCATAACTAGACAGAAGCAGCTGTGTGGTGATGGCCAGAGGGACGAGGGGGCGAGGGCGGGGTGGAGGTGGGCAAAGTTGGGGTGGGGGCAAATGGGAACATCTGTAATAGTGTCATCAATAAAAATAAAGTTAAAAAAGTGAAAAGACAACTCACAGAAGATATTAGCAAAAACCTATATCTGATAAGGAACTTGTATCTAAAATATATTAGGAACTATCTCAACTCGATAATAACACTACAAACAGCCCATTTGAAAAAATAGGCAAAGTCTTTGAATAAACATTTCTCCAAAGAAGATGTACAAATGGAAAATAAGCACATGAAAAGATGCTCAACATCATTAGTTATTAGAGGATGTAAGTCAAAACCACAATGAGATACTATTTCACACCTGCTAGGATGGCTATAATAAAATAGACAGGTAATAAGTGTTGAGGATGTGGAGAGATCGGAACCCTCATACATTGCTGGTAGAAATGTAAAATGGGGAAGTGCTTTGGAAAACAGTCTGGCAGTTCCTTAAAGGGATAAACAGCCCAGCGGGGGTGGTTTGGTGGTTGAGCATCGACCTATGAACCAGGAGTCATGGTTCAATTCCAGGTCAGGGCACACGCCCGGGTTGCAGGCTCAGAGTCAGGGTCAGGGCAAATGCTTGGATTGTGGGCTTATTGCCTGGTCGGGGGAGTGCAGGAGGCAACTGATCGATGCTTCTCTCTCATCACTAATATTTCTATTTCTCTCCCTCTCCCTTCCTCTCTGATATCAATAAAAATATTTTTTAAAGGATAAACAGAGTTACCATATGACCCAGTTATGCTACATCAAGATGTATACCCTAGAGAAATTATAACACACAACTACACAAAAACATGTACATGAATGTTCATAGCACCATCATTCATAATAGCCAAAATGTGGAAACAACCCAATATTCATCAATGGCTGAACAGACAAACCCAATATGAGATATCCGTAGAATGGGATATTATTTGACAATAAAAAGGAATGAAATACTGATGCATGCTACAATGGAGGAACCTTTAAAGACATTATGCTAAGTGAAAGAAGCCAGTCACAAAAGACCACGGATTGTATGTTTCTATTTATATGAAATGTCCAAAAGAGGGAAATCTATAGAGGCAGAAAGTAGTGATTACTTAGGCCTGGGGAAGGTGGGGAGAGGGGATTATAGCTAATGAGTATGGGATTTCCCTTTGTGGTGAGGAAAGTGTTCTAAAAGGGATGTGATGGTTGCATATTTATTTGAATAAATGAAAAACCATTGACTTGCACACTTGAAAAAGGTGAATTATGTGGTGTCTGAATTATATCCCGATAAAGCCCAACCTGTCCCAGCAAGCAGACTGGCCCCCAACAATATTCAGATAGCTGTACGGAAGGGATCTGACTGGCAGGGAAGGGGGACCTCACACACGCTGAGCACCTGCTCTGTGTTGTCTACTTTGTGCAGGGCTGTGAGCAGAGGGAGGATTTCAGGACCCTGGCAGTGAACGCCTCCTTACATTTTGCACCCTGGGCACCTCACTCTAGCCCGGCTACTAGTATGTGCTGTACACTTAGCGCCTTATGTAATCACTGTGACATCCCTAATAAGACCCATCTGACTACTTTACAGAGGCAGGTTTGGGGGCTCAAACACAGCAAAACTAGAACTTGAATGAACCCAGATCTTCCTGGCTGCAGAGTCTATCCTCTTTCCAGACTCCCCCGACAGTGCGGAGTGGAGGAGGCAGCCCTGGGAAGGAAGCCCCGTCCAGCTGCTCCCCCACCTCCCCACCTACCTGCCAGGACCCATCCCCACCTCCTAAGAGAACAAGCCTTCAGGGCTCTGCCTGAGTAGCCTTGCCTGAATCTGGGTGGAAGGTAGGAACCCCAAGACCTCCTAGACATCACCGGGGAACACAGAACCTTCTGCTCGGGAAGAACCAGAATGGCCACTAGACACCAAGGGCACCATTCAGTCACTATGGCCAACAAGTCAGCTGGGACCTGGGCTGGGGCTCACAGCCCTTACACTCAAATGCTGTTCGCTCATTCATTCAACAACCACGTCGAGCACCTACTGTGTGCTAGGCTCTGTTCTGGGCCATAGGAATATAACAGCAAACAAAACATCCCAGTGGGAGAGACAGAAGATACTCTTAAGTAACTAATCGGGAAATATTAACCAGTGAACAATCCAAAACTGAAAATAAACAGCATGAGACAGAGAGGATGAGGGTCCAGGCCAAGAGGCAGGCTCAGAGGAGGCCCTTTGTGGTGTCCAGGAGCGGCCTCTGCAGCCTCAGAGAGGCAGGCACGAGAGAAGTCAAGGTAGCCTGCTCCGTGGGGCAGAAGCTTCTAGGTGCCACTGACGGGTTCCCTTGCGTTGGATGGGAATTTCAAGGTGCCCACAGAGTCCCTCTGCGCTGAGGACCTTGGAAAGAGACACTGGCTAAGCTGGGGCTGTCAGGAGGGGAGCCCTTGGGTGGGTGGGTGAGCTAGGATAGGGGCAGGGACCCAAACTAGGGGCTTGGGGGCAGGAGGAGTCCCAGGGCCAGCAGAGCTACTCACCTACCCTCTTCCCCAAATTCCTCTGTGTAGGCCATGGGGCTTTCTAGGTCAGGTTAGGGCAAAAGAGCTGGTCCTGGGCTCCCTTCTCAGGCCCTCCCAGCCTAACTTGCATCCCCACATGCGGAGAGACCCCACCATAGACAAAGCCAGTCCCCATGACCTTGCAACCACTCCCAAGGCCTCCTGGCTCTCCCCCAGCCTAAGAGGCCTGCACCACCAGGCCTCCCCTCCTGGGCTCCAGAAGGAAGGTGTCCATCTGCCGTGCTCTTGGGCCTCGGGGTTGGGCAATCCTTCACTCCCCCAAAGTGCCAATCAATGTGTCCATCCCACAGATGCAAGTATTGAGGCCAAGTCAAGGTCCTCGGCGCTCGGCAGTCAGTAGGAGAACTGGATCCGGGTGGAGGCTTTTCTCGCCCCTTTTGATGTCTTAGGAACCGAACCTTCCGCTGGGAGAAGAGCCGGCCTGGCCTCTGATCCCGAAGAGCCGGTCTGGGCAGCGGGAACCTGGAGTGCAGCCTCCGACCAGGCCCGGGGCCTCTCTGGGCTTCAGACTTCCCCTTGGCAACTGGAGCGCGACCCGCAGGGAGCTCCCAGCGCCTCCAGCGCGCTCCTCTCTGCTCCGGCCGCCCGCAGGCCTCGCCCCACCGCTTTCACTTGCCTGGGCCGCTGTTGCACCGGCCTTGAGTCTATCTGGCCGTCGGATTAATATCCAGATATTAAGTAAACAATAAATTAGCAAAACTACAAGAAAATTTTACAGCCCTTTGCATTTGGCAATCATTGAGTGTTAATTAGAAATTCATTACAATTAAAACCCTGCCTAAACAGGGCCTTCGCGCCTTAATTACATCTGATTTTTAATTCAGAATACGTGTTTACACAGTAAGCGCTACGTACCCCATGATTATCCCCAATCCTCTTTATACTGTACTAATTATGTAAATTAAACCTAATTAACTGACGAAAACTGCCGTTAATTCAACTGGTAAAAGATATGTGCTTGCGGAGGAGGCGCGGCCGCCCGGCCCCAGCCCAAGCCCGAGCCTAAATCGGCGGGGACACCGGGCAGCGTGGACGCGACGCCCGGACGCGGAGTCAGCGCGTCCCCGCTGGGTGGCGGGGAGTACGTGGTCCGGGGTGCTGCCCTCCGACCCCAGTGCCACTGGTGATGGATACAAGAGAGAATCAGGGCTAATGGGGGTCAGGAAAGCCAAGGACACAGACTTCCGCAAGCTCCCCTGGCTCTGGACAGGGCGGCAGGGCCCGGAGACCCCTGAGGCAGAGGGGTCCCGCCCTGCCATTCAGAGCCTGAGTTCCAGGCCCAGCGCTGCCGGCACTGGCTGCCTGAGCCCGAGCAAGAGACCTGCGAGGCCGAGTGTTGTGAGGGTGGTGACAAAAGCTCCTCCGTTTCCTCCTTCCCTTCACTAACCTGAGTTGGCTTCCATGGCTGGCCCTCAGTTTCCTGCCTGTACAATGGGGATAAGTGACACCTGCTTATTGTCAGGGTCATTGTGAGAACCGGCTCTGCCAACGGTAAAATGCGGTTTGTGCTGATATTCACCGACTGGGGTGATTCTCCGAAGCACCCCAAGGCCGGCTCCCCGGAGACCACCACCCCTCCAGCGAGCGCCGGCGCCTCGGAGCTTCTCTCCACGTGCCTTCAATCCTTCTCCAGCTCCGACCTGGGTCGGCGAGTTGGGTGGGTGCGCAAAGCCAACGGCGGGCGCGGGGAGCTGTCCGCAACTTGGTGCTGAACGGAGACGCAAAGGCGCCCCTGCGCGCCCCTAGTGCAGTAACCTGGAAAGGGAACTTTTGTGCGAGAAGTCCCTGGGGCCCCGCGGACAGGCTGCTGGGAGCGCCCTAGAGCACAATAGAGGCAGGACAGACAGGTCCCGCGCAGAGGGACCCTGCCCCTCCTCTTTCCACTCCCACCCCCCACCGCCCCGGGGGCGTCCTGGCTCCGCGATCGTTGTCAACCACCACACCGGATTTTGAGATGCCTTTTAAAAAATCATTAGGAGGCTAAGAATAATTACCGAACGGGACTGTAATTATGGGGTGGGGGAGGCCAACCGAGGGAGCGGGGATGAGCAGGTGGAGTCTGGGGGCGGCTCTCGGGCTGGGAGGGAAATAGGTTCCTGTGTTTCTCAGCGGGAAGAGGGGGGCAGAGGACCGCAGAGTTGGAGAGGGACAGAGGCTGAGCCTGGAAGAGACTGAGGGGCCAGAGGCAGAGAGAGAAAAGGGCCGAGCAGGCTGTGGAAAGAAAGAAAGGCAGGGAGATCCAAGAGAGAAAGATGAAAACCGAGGGAGGCGAAAAAGCAAGAACTCCGCAGAGAGGACAGAGCCCTCAAACTCGGGGTAGTT